CCCCTCACTTCTTCCAAGGTTCTGATAAAAGAACTACAAATAGTAGAGGGCTTTATTATGATATAAAAAAGTAATAATGCTTCCACATAAGGCACCATTTTAGAGAAAAGGTTTCCCATTTTGAATAATGGAGTATAAAAACCAAGCATTCGCCGGGCGCGGTGGCTCAAGCCTGTAATCCCAGCACTTTGGGAGGCCGAGGCGGGTGGATCACGAGTTCGAGAGATCGAGACCATCCTGGTCAACATGGTGAAACCCCGTCTCTACTAAAAATACAAAAAAAAAAAAATGAGCTGGGCATGGTGGCACGTGCCTGTAATCCCAGCTACTCAGGAGGCTGAGGCAGGAGAATTGCCTGAACCCAGGAGGCGGAGGTTGCTGTGAGCCGAGATAGCGCCATTGCACTCCAGCCTGGGTAACAAGAGCGAAAACTCCGTCTCAAAAAAAAAAAAAAAAACAAAAAACAAAAAACCAAGCATTCATTTCATTGGAATGTATGATCTAAAATAATATTTTTTGACTGGGTAGTTGGGTTTCTTTAAAATTTGGGTCAACAGTTTATATTTCTATCAGTCATAAGTCTAATTTTCCAAAATTCTGAATGTAAGTACACTTTAGTATTTCCTTTATGATTTTTTTTTCCTGTTTCTTTCAGGATATTTATTTACGACACAGGGTCTCACTCTGTCAGCCCAGGCTGCAGTGCAGTGGTGCGATCATGGCTCCCTGCAGCCTTGATTTCCCAGGCTCAGGTGATCCTCCCATCTCAGCTGCCTGAGTAGCTGAGACGACAGTCATGTGCCACTGCCCCTAGCTAATTTTTGGTATTTTCTTTGTAGAAACAGGGTTATACTATGTTGCCCAGATTGGTCTCGAGCTCCTGGGCTCAAGTGATCTGCCTGCCTCTGTCTCCCAAAGTGCTGGAATTACTAGCATGAGCCATCACACCTGACCCAGGACTTTTTTTTTTTTTTTTTTTTTTTTTTTGAGACTGAGTCTCACTGTAGTGCCCAGGCTAGAGTGCAATGGCACAATCTTGGCTCACTGCAACCTCCGCCTCCTGGATTCAAGCAATTCTCCTATCTCAGCCTCCCGAGTAGCTGGGATTACAGGCATGCACCACTATGCCCAGCTAATTTTTGTATTTTTAGTAGAGATGGTGTTTCACCATGTTGGCCAGGATGGTCTCGATGTCCTGACCTCTTGTGATCCACCTACCTTGGCCTCCCAAAGTGCTGGGATTACAGGCATGAGCCACCACAAAAACTTCTAAAATTGGGCCATTTTAGTACTATTACAAATGAAATATATATCATATTCGTATTTTAATGTGTTTTAGAGCTAATAATGATGATAGCAGTCACTTGATACTATGTTCCAGGCATTCTACTAAATTCATTTGATCTTTATAGCAATGTCATGGTAATAGCACTATTATTATTTCTGTTTTACTGAGGAGGAAAAATCACTATTATCCCCAGTTTACTGATAAAACCAGTGCTGAGAAGTGAAACAATTTGCCCAAAGTAGAAAGTGGCAAAACCAGGAGTTAAACCTGGGTCTGTCCAATTCCAAAACTTGTGTTCAAAATCTCTACACTATAGATAAAACAGATGAACAAAATATTTGCCCTATCTAAGTGAGCAGAATCACATTTTCTTTTTTCTTTTTCTTTTTCTTTTTTTTTTTTTTTTTGAGACAGAGTTTCGCTCTTGTTTTGTTACCCAGGCTGGAGTGCAATGGCGCGATCTCAGCTCACCGCAACCTCCGCCTCCTGGGTTCAGGCAATTCTCCTGCCTCAGCCTCCTGAGTAGCTGGGATTACAGGCATGTGCCACCATGCCCAGCTAATTTTTTGTATTTTTAGTAGAGACGGCGTTTCACCATGTTGACCAGGATGATCTTGATCTCTTGACCTCGTGATCCACCTGTAACGGCCTCCCGAAGTGCTGGGATTACAGGCTTGAGCCACCGCGCCCAGCCCCAGAATCACATTTTCAAAGAACATGTTGGGACCCAGAGTCTGACAAAAAGCTCTATTTAAAAAATTTATTTACATGGAATATTTCATACAGGTATAAATATCAGCTAGGCATTTAGCTGAACATTCAACAACTTTTTTTTTTACAGTCTAAATTTAAAAGCAATTGGAAACATAATGGAAAATGGGGATATAACCTATATCTCTAGCTATAGGTGAATACAATTAATCGAAGTGATCAGCCTTGGCTGGGCATAGTGGCTCAAGCCTGTAATCCCAGCACTTTGGGAGGCCAAGGCAGATGGATCATTTGAGGTCAGGAGTTTAAGACCAGCCTGGCCAACATGATGAAACCCTGTCTCTACTAAAAATACAAAAATTAGCTGGGCATGGTGGCATACGCCTGTAATCCCAGCTACTCGGGAGGCTAAAGCAGGCGCATCACTTGAGCCTGGGAGGCAGAGGTTACATGAGCTGAGATCACACCAGTGCACACCAGTCTGGGTAACAGACTCTGTTTCAAAAACAACAACAACAAAAACAAAAAGTGATCAGCCTTAAAATTTGCCCTTAAAACCAATTTTAGACTGGGTACCGTGGCTCAAACCTGCAATCCCAGCACTTTGGGAGGCTGAGATGGGTGAATCATCTGAAGTCAGGTGTTTAAGACCAGCCTGGCCAACATGGCAAAAATCAGTCTCTACTAAAGATACAAAATATTAGCTGGGCATGGTGGCAGTTGCCTGTGATCACAAATACTAGGGAGGCTGAGGCAGGAGAACTGCTTGAACCCTGCCGGGGGAGGAGGTTGCAGTGAGCTGAGATGGTGCCATTGCACTCTGGCCTGGGTAACAAGAACAAGACTCTGTCTCAAAAACAAAAAACAAAACTAATTTTAATTAAAGTGGAAAAATGCTTAGTAGTTTGTGAATATATTTACCTCCTCTGGCTTTTTGAGAAATCTAGCTATTAAATTGTAGCTCTCAGAGGATAAAGGCAAAATGCCTAACCTCTTGACAGCTGATTGACTGAGCCCAGCCTGGGCAACATGGTGAGACCCCTGTCTCTTAAGAAAGAAAGAAAAAGGCCGGGTGCGGTGGCTCAAGCCTGTAATCCCAGCACTTTGGGAGGCCGAGGTGGGTGGATCACGAGGTCAAGAGATCGAGACCATCCTGGTCAACATGGTGAAACCCCGTCTCTAGTAAAAATACAAAAAATTAACTGGCCATGGTGGCACGTGCCTGTAATCCCAGCTACTCAGGAGGCTGAGGCAGGAGAATTGCCTGAACCCAGGAGGCGGAGGTTGCGGTGAGCCGAGATCGCGCCATTGCACTCCAGCCTGGGTAACAAGAGTGAAACTTTGTCTCAAAAAAAAGAAAGAAAAAGAAAATATATTAAATGTTTGTGGGATGTGATCTGTGTGTGTGTGTGTGTGTGTGTGTGTGTGTGTGTGTGTGTGTGTGTCTATGTATCCTTCATAATAGGATAAATTTATCTAGAAATGTAATGATTCCCAGATTTTTTTTTTTAAGTCAAAATGTGGTGATAGCCAGGTATTTTTGTCTCTAAAGTGAGAATGATGTCATTCCACTTGGAGTTTATTGACACAGAACTTCCTTTTGTGAGAAATCTTCAGCACTGTCAATATGGCTTTAATTAAGGGATATACTGATCACTTGTTGATTTTGTTACAAGGGAGGAACTTCTCTAATTTGTGTGGATTGCTTTGTGGACCACAGTAAAACATATAAAGGACCACCGGCAATGTGTTGATTTGTATCTCCTGTATTCTTATATTCATTTCTGAATACCACTGAAGACTAATATTTAGAAAGTTCTGTAGGATTACTGAAGTGTAAAAAGTATTTGGATTCGCAATTCATTTTTAAAAGAAAGAGTTGCCATATTGTGATTATTGACATTAAAAATTGAATGTTCTTACCCATACTTGTGGGGCTAAATCTTTGAATATCATTTTAAAGATTTTCAGAATCTTTAAATTTAGAAGACATGAGGAAATGTCTTCTGAATTTAGGGAAGTCACACATAGATCCCAGTTCCTCTAATAAACTTTGCCAGTTTATTTGTTCATAGATTTGTGGCAAATTCTCTGAAATCATAAATCATTGTCTCAAAATCTAAAGCATGATATACACATGGAAATATTTTAGTAGTTGAGTCTATCTTCAAGTGATATCTGATAAAACCTAAATTACAGTAGTGTTATGGGAAAGAAAACAACTCACTCGGCCGGGCACGGTGGCTCATGCCTGTAATCCCAGCACTTTGGGAGGCCGAGGCGGGCAGATCACGAGGTGAGGAGATGGAGACCATCCTGTCCAACATGGTGAAACCCCGTCTCTACTAAAAATACAAAAAAATTAGCAGGTGCGATGGTGCGCACCTGTAGTCCCAGCTACTCAGGAGGCTGAGGCAGGGGAATTGCTTGAACCTGGGCGGCGGCGGATGCCGTAAGCCGAGATCGTGCCACTGCACTACAGCCTGGGTGACAGAACAAGACTCCGTCTCAAAAAAAAAAAGAAAAGAAAAGAAAAGAAAACAACCAACTCTACTTCAAAATCTTAACCACTTGACCAAATCCATTGAACCATATAATTCTCAGTTCTCCATTCAGCTTCTCTGTTGAATGGAATAAAAGAGATAAACAGGTCTAAATGCAGCTTCTGTAGTTCAAGAATGGGTAAGAAGGAGCTGTAAAGTGTGCACTCAGACTTGGAGATTAAGGGGAATTTTAAAAAAGTATATCTAAAAAGATATGTGGAAAGGAAATTTCTCTGCACACAGGACCTGCCAATTTGTGAAAGTTCTCGACTGTTTATACAACACAAGGGCCATAACTCTGCTAAAGAAAACACTCCAAATAATGCTAAATGAATCACAGTTGTTTTCAATTATTTGGATACTTAATTCACTCCTGTGAGTTTTCAGTTTACACCAAGCCAATCCCTCCGCCCCGCGGCAGGGAGCGTTTATTCCTAGGTCATCTCGGTTGGGCCCCGGCGCTTTGGCCCGCTCGGGTCTTGGGCTCCGCGGTAGCGGCCACTGCGGGCGGAGCATCGGGAAACACCGGAGTCTGCGCCTCCACAGACAGGACCCACCGTGTCCTCTTGAACTTTGCACAGCGCGTGACGGGGGCAGACGGCGCACCGCGGCCAGGCCTAGCGCGAGGGTCCTTGGGGAAGAGAGGAGCGGGGGTTTCCTCGGAGGCCTGAGCGGGGCGCAGCCTGCAGCCCCTCCCCATACGGGCTGCCCCCAGCCCGCCGCTCGCGCCGCTCGGCTGGGATCCGGCGCCTTCCCCGGCTGTCCTCGGCCTCCCGCGCGCTCCGCGGGAGGAGCCGCCGGCGGCCGTGACGCGTCAGGGAGGAAACGCTAGCGCCCCGCGGCTGTGCCGGGAAGGAGGAAGCGCAGAGCGTTCGGCTCCGCGCCCGCCGCGCCGGGAGCAGCACCGCGGGGCTGGGTAGGTGCGGGGCTGGCGGGAGGGTCCGAGCACCCGGGTCTCCGACGGCGGACCGGGGCGGGAGGAGACGGGGCGGGGCGTAGGGCTGCGCGGGCCTTGGCCGCTGCCTGTCGTCGGAAAGAGCCGTACCCCCCCGCCCAGTCCCCGGGTCCCGGAGAGTTTGTGGTCTTTGTTTCCACGAGGTGAATTCAGATTCTGCCTCGAGATCCCTGAACGCCCAGGGGCTGTCAATGGCTGGACCTTGTTAACCCGCGCGCAGTCCCCGAGCCTGGAGGAGCAGGGAACGCCGAGCGGGGAGACCCCATCTGAGGTCGAAAGTGGGTGCAGGTCACTTGCGAGGGTCGGGGAGGGGGCAGCCGCCAGAGTGGGCTGGATGGAATCATTAACCTACTGTCAGTGGATCTGTAGTTAAGAGACATTAATACGTTGTGTCTTTTAAGTTCTCTGTGATTTGAACCCTTACGTCTCTCCAAGAGAGTCTGGCCCTGTTAATTCTCACAGTTTTAGCATTGGAGTGTACCCACTAGACGTGCTTTGAGATTTTTAGATTCTGTCATTTTTAGTCATCGTTACTTGGAAAGAGAAAGGAATCATCTATTGAAACTTAAACGCTTTCATTGAGTTGTGCACAATGACTTCTGAACCATGAGTAGAATTTCAGTTCTGAACCAGAGAGTACGTGGGGTGCACTTGAGATGCAAAATAAACACGGAGCACTGTCATTTCTAAATCTTTGTCAAAGTGAAAAATAGACTGTTGTGTATTTTGATTCACTCCCTTCTCACTAGATTGAGACTTCACCCAACCAATCTGGAAGTGCCTTCTTTATTTATCAAACACTTACATAGCTCTTACTGTGTGCTTGGCTCTAAGTGCTTTATAAATATTAAATTGAATTCTTAACTCAGCATATTATAGCGGTTCTAGCAGTGAAGAGGCTATCCATACTTTAGTTCCCCAAATGTCATTGCAAGAGCTAGAAACATTAGAGGAAGTTTTAGGCGTGTTTTAGCACCGGGTGTGCCTTCTGGTCCCCTTGGCTACCGCTTCTGTGAGACAGCTACCACCCCTGCATTTCCCTGGGGTAAGGGAGCCTGGAGCTCCTGAGAATGCGAGCTGTTCAAAGCAGGTGTTGGTCAGGACCTGAATGACTTGTGTAACATGGTCCCTCTCAACTGCCGTGCCCATCAGCTCACTCTGGAGACACCAGAACTTCCCCTTCTTTAACTGCCACAGCATGGAGCCTACTTTTGTTTTTGAAAAGAGCTTTGTTCCTAATCTGTTCGACATTATTCATATGACGTAGTTTAGATTTGAGGGTCAGATTGAACTTGTAATGTGCTATAAAATGGAACATTACACATCAACATAACAAATAACGTTTTGTAATTTTACTGCTATTTGCTGTTAGAAACATTGAATTGGTAGGTCAGCCTCATAGGTGTCCATTTTGTGATTTACAGAGAGAATATTCTTTCAGAATAACATGCCCTCTTCAAATGTACACCATTAGAGACCCAACAGGGTGACTAAGATAGACATGATCCTTGTCATTATGGCGATTATGAATGTAATGTCAAAATCTACACATCAGACTAGCTTTGTGGTTACCTCTCCTTTTCTGTGTCCCCCACCTTATCTCTCTTTCATATATTTAACTTTTCAGGGAGATGATTAAGTGAGCTGATAAGCCTTATTTAATAGAATTATGAAGTGTCTCTTGAAGCAAGAAGGCTCATGTTCCTCTGATATATTAATAATTTATGGCACAACAGGCATTAGTGTCATTCATGAATTCAGTTTAGCCAAATGACCCCTAGCAATTTCATGGTTTACAAAGTACTTCCAGACATACTTGTTTACCCTTTAGAGATATCTGTGCAGTTGGTCTCTTAACTACTTTTTATTACCTATTTTTCAGATGAAGAAACTGAGGCTTAGAAATGTTAAAGTGTTTTAACCTAGATTGCACAGCAAGTGAGAGGCAGCGAATGAATAGAGGGAGGTGTATGGACAGTGCCTGGCACGTGCAGGCCTGTCATAAACATCTGTGGAATGAATGACTCCAAATGGCTTCAGATATCTTGCTCTTTCAAAACATGTCTCTCAAAATACCATAGTAATTGACTTATGCCTGAGAGACTTCTAGGCCTAATCCATTGCCTCTCTTATTTCAAACAGTATCTGATACAGCACATTTTCTACAGAAGGGATGGAATGCCCTTTGGACTCATTTTCTTAGGATTTGCCACCTCTGTTTATTGAAAAAAAAAAAAAAAGATTATTTTTTTCATCCTACTTTTTTTCTCTGATTTTGAGACTTTAGAATGGACATATGATATTTATATTTGTGTTGGCAGCTTTCTTTTATTCCTTTTTTTTTTTTTTCTTGAGATGGAGTCTTGCTTGTTGCCCAGGCCTGAGTGCAATGGCGCAGTCTAGGCTCCCTGCAACTTCTGCCTCCCAGGTTCAAGCGATTCTCCTGCCTCAGCCTCCTGAGCAGCTGGGACTACAGGCTCATGCCACCACACTTGGCTAATTTTGTGTTTTTGGTAGAAACAGGGTTTCACCATGTTGGCCAGGCTGGTCTCAAACCCCTGACCTCCTGATCCGCCCACCCTGGCCTCCCAAAGTGCTGGGACTGCTCCCGGCCATAACTTTGTTAGCTCTCCAAACTACTTAGATTTATGATCAAGTTCAAACTCAATGATCATAGGTATTGTAAATATTTTTGAAATGTCTGACATTACTATGTATTTTATTGAAATGTTGCAATGACTTTTGCATAAAGAGTCTTTAAAAAACACACAAAATTCCTCAACTATTTATATTCTTTAAGCATAGCCCTCTGTACCTAAAGTATGTGCTTTCCAGGTGAATAACCTTCAATTAGAGAGGATAATATAGCCATTACCTGGCGGGAGGAATTGAGAAGAGTTATCAGGGAGAGATTAGAAATGGGATGGCCTTTCTCATAAGGTATATTAGGCTGTACGAAACCCTTAATGAAGCCAGACTGAGTCATCTGCCTGTCAATGTTCTTCTGCGTAGGAGTGGAATAAAATACCTTTGAAACCTGCCTTGTTTCAGAAACCACTTTACCTTTTCCAATCTTCATATTTTCTCACTCCTTTTAAAAAAAATTAATGTAAATTACTGACTAAACTGCTGATTCATGAAACTCAAATTATGTAACATGTTATTCCTGACAGTTGTAACAGCTCCCACGTTATTTTAAGCGACTCAGTGTCTCTGTTTTCCTTTACCTTTTCCATTTCTCATGGTGGAGACTTTGCTCTCATTTCACTCTCCCCTGCCCAATATCATGGAGAAAAGTGGTGTATTTAAGAGGTGACACTTCCACATCTTGTAGTTCATGTCAAAGTAGTTTAAACTCAATGCTAGCTTTTAGTTGTCGTTGCTGAGGAAGACAATGTGGAAATCAGATGTTGAAGGCCAATTCAAAGCATCACCCAGTAAAATTGTATTGGCTATCTGAAGCTGAACCAGAGGGTTTTCAAGGGGAATTAGGGCAATGTGTAGTATCCTGCCCTAGTCCAATTTCTCAGGTCCTTTCCTATTTCCCCAAAGTCCTGAAAACCTGCCTAAGTTCACCATCTTGTAGCCACTGTTCTTCTGTTACTCTAAACAAAAATCTGCTTTCCTTGGGTGCAGTTGGGGTGACTGAAAGAAAGGTAAAGATATAAGGGGAATTGTTAGAGGGCGAGGGACTAATAATATGTAATATGGAAAATGGAGATGTGTGTGAAATAAGTGATGTTATTGAGGTCTTGCAATGGGGAGGGGGAGGATTCCTGTGCAGTGCAGCTCTGCTTCCCCTGACAGGGCCGTACATATAGGAAAGGCCTATATGCAAGCAAAGTTTGAGAAGAACTAGAAACATCTCTTGGCATGATATTGGTTGGCAGAGTTACTACTTTGTATCATCAAGTGTAGAAGTATTCTTGTAGATTGCTCTTTCTTGAAGCCACTAAGTGAGTTTGCTGTCAGATAATTCAAATATAGAGGCCAGGTACAGGGGCTCACACCAGTAATTATAGCACTTTGGGAGGCCGAGGTGGGGGGATCACCTGAGGTTAGGAGTTTGAGACCAGCCTGGCCAACATGGTGAAACCCCATCTCTACTAAAAAAGAAATACAAAAATCAACCTGGCATGGTGGCGCATTTCTGTAATTCCAGCTACTTGGGAGGCTGAGGCAGGAGAATCTCTTGAACCCGGAAGGCAGAGGTTGCAGTGAGCCAAGATTGCACCACTGTACTCTAACCTGGGTGACAGGAGTGAAACTCACTCTCAAAAAAAAAAAAAAAAAAGAAAGAAAAAAAGATAGCTGGTTTAGTGGCTTTTAACTTGAGAGTAAGGGTGGTTGAGAAAGAGCCTGGATTTTGTATCTTTTAAAATCCTTATTCTTTTTCGAGAATGCCTTTACTGTTGATATAATAATGTCATTCTTCTCACTGTTCTGTGATTTTGAAGAAATAACACTGTTTTTACATAGCATACAGCAATAAGCATGATTCTGGCTAATGGTTTCTATTCAAGTTCCTGATGTATTTGCTAAGCCAGTCAATAACAAACATTTTTCTTCTATAGGTAGAATAGATTTCATATGTAATATAAACATATACAAAAGTGGGACTCATTGATGGAGTAGCCAGTCCACAGACTGCTGAATGAAACATATTCAAGTACAGTGGTGCTTCATACGTTTGAAAATGAGAAGGAACTTTAATACTCTAGTTATGTTTTTAGTTAATTAATTTATTATTATTATTATTGAGACAGAATCTTGCTCTGTTGCCCAGGCTGGAGTGCAGTGGCGTGATCTCAGCTCACTGCAATCTCTACCTCCCAGGTTCAAGTGATTCTCGTGCCTCAGCCTTCTGAGTAGCTGGGTCTACAGTTGTGTGCCACCACACTCAGCTAATTGTTTTTGTATTTTTAGTTTCACTGGTTGGCCAGCCTGGTCTCAAACTCCTG